TAAAAGATGCTCAATGTAATTTACTATGGCTGTTATGGCTTTGTGCGATTGATTAATGTTACACATATGAAGGTGTGGGATCCATTTAGTGCTTTTAGTCCCATCAGAGTGAAGGCAAACTACCAGTACTGCAAACGGTGCTCACCCTCTAATGATGAAGTGCTGAGCGAATGAAAACAGAATGTATGAAAAACCCTTGTCTCTGCAGGGCCATGCTGAGAAAAATATGATTGTAGATAATTCATATCATAACAGGTTGTCCATTATATTTTCATGCTTTCAGTGCCAGGGCTGTTGAGTAAGTATGAAATGGGACTCTAATCTGGGTCCCAACTGAGGTGAACTCTCAGTTTCAGAACCTGACCGTTTATCTTGGCCTGCTGCTGGATTCTGCCTCATGATGATCCAGTAAAAGAGTATGCATTCACACCATAAATTTGCACCACTTGAGGATACGATCTACCTATTGGCTGTTTGATTTCAGTCCCAGCCGGCATCCTTCCTGTTTATCAGGGGGTTGTTTCTCGGTTAGGGACTTTTACACGGCCAGAGAATGACGGCAAACGAACAATCGAATGCACTGGCGGCTGGTTTTCGTGTTTTTGGACCTGCAGATACGATGCGCGTCTTATGAGCTTCATCCTTTCGTTTTTTGTTTCTCTTTTGCAATACATTTCTTTGTTAGTTTCAAAACATAGCGAAAAAAGTTTTAGTATTTTTGTAAAGGGCTGTATGCTTCAAGCTGATAATGCATCAAGGGTCTTTGGAGCCTTGACCTCTACCGTATTGAGCAGCCCGGTTATATTGGGAGTAAATAGATTCTCTGTTGGGATTCACGAGGGCCTCTGCTTGACCGTATTGTTCTGGGTGCAATGAGCCGGACCGCAGGAGGCCCTCTGCTCCCCTCGGGCATGTGCCATCGCGTTACCTGCTTTGTGCCCGTACACAATGGATTATCAATCCGCGATCTGCCCTTTTTTTTTGCTTTTCTGGCATTGCGTTCATTCATCAAACGCTTTAACTGTTTTGATGAATGACCGTAGCCTCGTCATTCCCTCCTCTAACGCTCCCTCTTTCCTTTTCTTTCCCATTAATTTTGTGGCGCTGTGTCTTTGAGGATATTGTAAAGTGACCAATGGCATCCTCATCACGGCTGTTGCCCCGGCAACCGGTGACAGTGCAAAACCTCTCTCAGGATGAATGGGCCATTAAAAGTAGTAGCAGCCCAGCAAGGGGTGCACAGATAGGGAAGGAGCTAGCTAGTCTGCAAAGAGGTGCGAATATGAAGCAGAAAAAGACAATTTTACGTGGTTTTATTTTATTTAATTTTTTCACACTGTTGATTTGACACACAACAGAGATGCTCTTCTGTTTTACAACCATGTCAACATCCAAGATCACAGAAGAACTTTGCCAACCGTTTGAAAAGCTGTGGGAAAATCTGCTAGAAAACCTGCTGGTTGCTCTGTTGACGGAAAACTAAGATGAAAATGTAACAGTGTAACAGTGTTTTTCTGTCATCCACATGACATCTTTTTGGCCACACAGTTCAGTTATTGAGATGCATTGCATTTTTTTTTTTGAATGACAGTCCTTTAGATCAGTTTTTTTTTTTCAGTGTGGGTTATTGTTTTTTTTTTTTATTATTTGTTTTTGACAACTTTTGAACAAGGTTCTACATTTGCGCTCACATTTCTATTTTCTCATCTGTCAGATCTGTGATGTTATTCAATAGATTTTTCATGAAATATCAGGAGAAACAACATTATTGCTTTGAGAATAATGCCGTCATTTGTCATCTTGTCACAGTATAGTATGAAAAAATATGACTGACGCTTCATGTGTCTTTGTATGTTTGGAGCCTGCATCACAAGTGAACAGAAGACTGAACTCCTGTAATGATCAGTGAGGCAGTAACGGATTCCTGCAGCTTCTCCCTCACCAGAGCACTTTCAGTGCTGCAGAGCAATCAGAAGTGACACCTACATTTTTTTTACATGGTCGTGACGCATCAACATAAATTAAGAAAATGTAATGACTTGTATGTGAAAAACGTACCCATCAACACTAGCAGCGAGTGGCCTTTTAAAACCCAGCACGGGAAGAGTCACTATCATCACTTCCACCTGACTGTAAAGGGCTCCCACGCTGTGGTTACTTTGACTGCTTTGCATTTTGTCATCACCGTCAAGTATATGTGTCCTGTTGTTAAAGCTGAAAATAATTACACACCAAAATAAGAATATCAGAAAACATCGCCTCTGTAGGCATTTCCCCTCCCTTTTGTAAGACAGTCGTTTGTCTTTCTGCATCATCTTTATGTCAGAGCTGTCAGGAATCTTAATTTGCAATCATTGCTTCTTTGTTTTGTTTTGTTTTGTTTTTTCTCATATCTTTTGTTGCCGACCTTGGATATAATTATGATGACCCACTAGTTAGAAGGATGGTCCTTGGGAGAACAACGCATTCCTTCATGGGGGAGTTGGGGGAGGAGAGAGGACTTGAGGAAAGCAAACGAGTGCAGAGGGGAGGAGAAGCCAAACTGAAAACTGTGTGTGTTTTTCAGTGAGCTGTGTGCACGCACAGCAGACGAGTAAACAAAGATATGATTGACTGATTTAATTATTTTTTTGTTCACTTTTCTGTTTATCTGCCTCCGTTTCTCACTGTACCCCAGCGATTTGCAGAATATAAGAAGAAAGGGAGGAATTGCTGTAGTTCTAAAGTTACCTGAATTTGAATGATAAATGAATACCTCTTCAGTGCATTCATCTGTTAAGGGGCGAATAAAATAGATGATTTAATCGGATGGTGAAAGTTGTGGTACGGTGGCTGTTTTTTTTAACAGTGCTGTGAAAATATGGTGGTGGTGCTGACCGTTAGTTAATGAGCTTTGCTGAGAAGATCCAGAAATTCTGTCATATTGATAGATGATTGGTAGGAGGACCACTGTCGCAGGACAATGAGTCATCAGCAGTCACCAGTCATTTTTCTTAGAATTCTCCCTCAACATTGTGTGCCAGTTGTTCAGTTCAATCTGTAAATGCCACAGTGTTTATCACAGACTTTTCAACAGTTTCTCTATGTTTGAGCCTCTGTTTCCCAACTTCTATTCACCAACGTCTTTTTTTTTATTTACACCAACTCAAAGTGCGCTCTTTATCTAATGAGCTAATGAGTAGGAGCTCTTGTTGGCTCCTGTTCTGTTTATGCTCATGCAAAGTCTCTTTGAAGGTCTGGACCTGCTCACCTGTTCAAGATGAAGGCAGTGTTCTAAACCTCAGCCTGCATGCTTTTCTTTTTTTTAAATTTTTTATTCACTTTCTTTATTCTAATCTCCAGCAACAATAATTTCCTCTTCAGCACACCCACAAAATTTGAGCCTTGTTTTAACTCCAGCTTGCCGCTGTGTAACTAAGAACATTTGTATTCATTGAAAGCTGATAAAGACCTCCTCATGCCTAAATTATTATTATGCTGGTTGGTTAGAATATTAAATTATTGATGCCTTTGACTGAAGATAATTGCTGCTCTGCAGAACGCTGCTTTCTAAATAAGACAAAAGATTGTTCAGTTCCAGCAGTTTCAGGGGAGGGCTGGGATATAGCAGCCACTTAATCAGCAATGACTTTTAAGTAGTTTTCTGCTGCTGTGTCTGCCTTTCAAAATTTAGGCCAAACTTATTTTTCTGTCCTGCCGTATTGGGCAGAACTCTGAAATTTTGAAATCAATCAGAAATGGTCAACGGGGAGTATCAGAAACTTAGTCTGGAGGGCTCTCTGGAATGCCATGCCTTCATCAGTCTTAGATATAAGGGTCAAGTAAGCTATTTCCCTATGACACTGAGCATAAATGTGTTATTACTGCCAAGGTGAGAGGAGATGGTAATTGGCCTGTTTTAAAAGGAGTCAACGCAGGGTGCTTTTGAGTCGGTCTGTGTCCTCTAAATAGGGAAGCGAGGTAACTGCAGGAGAAAATAGAGGATCTATAACTTGGAGAGGATGTTGTTTTATTTCACAAGTGCCCAGCGATTCGATGCAGTGCTTGGTTTGTATTAGCGACACGTTGCCTGCTCATCTCGTTCAAACCACTTCAGCAGAGGATCTCAAAGTGCATGTTTTCCTGTCACAGTCTCCAATGCCCCCTTTTGAGATGCTTCCAGGATGACTCACCTCAGCACAGTCACCATCCCATAGCCGGCCAGCTGCCTAGAATAGCCCGTCCTGCCCTACATTTTCATAAACACTGTCAATAATCATGTTTAGTCCTCTGTGACTGAGACTCTGCTCAAAATGCAGTTTTTATATTAGAAGCACCAGACGGAAATGAGAGTTTATGCCTTAATGCGGGCTAATAACTGCCCTTCAGAGCTAACGGACATCCTCCTGATCTCTGAATCAGTGCGCGGGCTTCCTTTTAATAAGTCACCGGCAGAGACGCAGTTATAACTGGTGTTTCCACAGTGTGGGTCATGTTCCAGATAGAATTGGACACTCTTCCTCTACCACACCTCGTGCTTGCAGTTCTCACCTCCCTTTCCCTTATTCTCACTATTTCAGTCCTTATATTTAATGCAGTGGCGGGCCGTCTTGTCACTTCCTCCTCACAGCCATATGGCTGAGGATGCTGGTGGATGGTAATGATCTGCTGCTGGTCAGATCCACTTCAGAGTGACATATTTCAACATCTATTGATGTGTCGCCTCCTGTTTACAGCATGCCGTGTGCGTTGATGCGGGCCTTTCAAAATGGCCAGTTTTTTTCCGTGGACACGGTAGCAGTGGCATATCCCGAGCTTAGTCAAATCTCTGTAAACACGCTCATGTTGGTGTTCCGTGCGGTATCCCCACCCTTTAAGCGTTGGGATCATTCTTTTGTTGTGTCGATAAAGCCAGGATTTCTACAAAATCTACAAACTTCTTACAAAATCCTGCCGTCTGTCTGAATTTAAGCACTGCTAATAGTGTCCACCCCCCCACCCCTTCCTGTTTCTGACTCCTGCAGGTAGTGGCGTTGCAGCGAAAGGATGCCCCTGGTGAAGCGCACCATCGAGCCCAGGCACCTGTGCCACACGGTGCTGCCCAGGAACATCAAGAATGAACTGGAGTGCGTGACCAACATCTCATTGGCCAATGTCATCCGCCAGCTCAGCAGCCTCAGTAAGTAGCACCCTCTGTCTCATGTGCACTTCGATGATTTAGAAACTTTTATGGAATAAGCAAACTGCTTCGCTAAAATGATCTCAGACAGGGACCCACCCTCGATCTACCGAGACTGCTGTAGTCTAACCCGGCACACGAGGGCCTGTGATTGAACAGAAGCTCAGCAGCAGCTCGCTGTCTCTGAACTTCTTTAAAACAAGAAAGATCCAGTCAGAGGAGGAACAGCCTGCTTCCTTATGAATTTTCTTTGACAACAGATGGAGCTTTAAACCAAAAACGTCCTCACATCCTTTACACTTTAAAACATGGCACAGCAAAATAGACATGCTTGGAACAACAGAGTTACAAAAAAGTATATTCAGTTTTTTCTTGCTTGTGTTTTTTGTTATCACAGCGGATTTAGATAAATGTATTTAAGGCGACACTGTTCTTTTTAAAACAGCTGTTACTTTGGTTCGCAGGTAAATATGCAGAGGACCTGTTTGGAGAGCTGTTCAATGAAGCGCACTCGTTCTCTTTTCGGGTCAACTCCCTGCAAGAGCGGGTTGATCGTCTCTCCATCAGCGTCACGCAGCTGGACCCCAAAGAGGAGGAGCGTGAGTATTATACCCACGCAAATGTACACACACACACACACACTATTCAGAAGTAGACTTATTGTGCATTGTAACTCAGATGGGTTTGATTTCAAAAGTTCAACTTTTACTCATCAAATGTCAAGTCTCCTCTTGACTTTCAACTTAATTCTTGACATTTCAGCTTAAAATCCCTTCTTGAAAATGTTCCTATTCGTCATGCTCTGTATTTAACGTGTCCCAATTACAGCATGGCCATACACCCCTGCCAAGAATCTAAATGTGTCTTGTTTAGAGGAGCAGGTAGCTGTGAGGTGGAGGCATATTTCACCCGTAATGGCAGAGCATCATCGCCTCAAAAAGAGACATTGTGTCAGAGCTTTATCTTGGTTGGACGCTCTCTCACCCAATGAAATATTCTCTTTGTGAAAAGAGAATCTTTGGCAATTGTTGGGAGCTGTAAAAAAAGAGAAGACTGCAGTAATCTGTCTGTACTGTCGGGTAATCCAGATTTCCTGAGGCAGAATGACAGCGCAGTGAATGAACTGGAGGCTGCGGTGAGTGCACAGTAAAAAAAAAAAAAAAAAAAAAAAAGGAGGGAGGGAGAGAATCACAGCAGTATAATGCCACGCTCTGAGGCGCCGTATCGATTTTCCCATGGGCCAGCGGCGTGTTTACGGCTCTGCACAATGCTACTCTAACCATTTCCTTGTCGCAGACGGAGACTGTAAAATGCTCATTCGCTTGTACTCGCTGGTTATGAGAGTGAAATCAAAGGCTTTGGTCGTTTTTTTTTTTGTTTCTTTGTTTTCATTTGTTTTGTTTCAGGTTTCTGTTTTTATGAATTTGGACTGCAGATGCAGTCAAGGAACGGACAGCAGCAGGTTCTGGTTATGTTTTTCCTTCTATTGTGGTCTACCCTGTTTCCTTCTCCCTGTTTAATAAAAACCTATCTGGTTTGAAAAACTTTCCATCCGGTCTTCTTTTATGTCTTGTCCCCCTCCTCCTCCTCCTCCTCCTCCTCCTCATCCTCTTCTTCCTCCTTCTCTCCTCTCAGCCACTTTCCCATGCTCTCTCCTTCTTTTATCCTCTCTCTGTCCAAGTAGGGTAGCTGCGCTAGTTGTATAATTGAGAGTGATCTAATTGTAGAAGGCTGGTGTGCAGGTCTTGTCTGCAGAGGTTGAGGGGCAAGCTCACACACACACACACACACACACACACACACACACACACACACACAC